ATGATGCGTAGTGTGGCGTTGCAATTTGGTCTGCACATGATTTGTACTTCGTGAATCCAGCCAGCCAGCCAGCCTGTTCGGGTCGTAGTTTTGAATCCAGCGCATCCTTTAGTCTCTCCAGCATGATGCGGCTTAATATTGTGCTCGCTTTGGGTGGACAGGAGTGGAGCGTGATCCCACGCCAGTTCTTGCAGACACTGAGGTCTCCCTTCTTTGGGAGTTTGACAAGGTAACCCTTCCAATCAATGGCCAGGTACCTTCTCTTCCTTCCACACCTTCTGCACTAGTGGTGTGAGGATGTCCGCCGCTATTGGCTCTGCGTCTGTTTTCAGTGCTTCTGACGGAATCCCATCCGGTCCTGCTGCTTTCCCGCATTTCAGTAGCTTAATGGCGCTCAGGACTTCCGCTTTTGTTGGAGGATTTATGTTCACTTGTAGTTCTGTGGCTGGGCTGCAGGTGGTATTTCTGGACGAAGTGCAGGTGGTTGTGATGGTCGATTCAAGAGCTTCTTGAAGTGGTCGGCCCATCGTTTCCTTTGTTTCTCTTCTTTCGTAATTACATTTCCGTCATCACCTTTTATTGGTTTCGTCTGCGTTGATCTCTTCCCAGACAGCGAGTAACCTGGTTATTTGATACAATGTTGTCAGGTCTCTATCTCTCCTACCTGCAGCCTGTTCTGCTTCACTTGCCAGTGTGTTGTGGAAGTGTCTCTTGTCTTTGCGTGCACTCTTCTTCACTTCTTTGTCCAGTGTAGTGTTTTGTACACGTTGTACTCAGTTCCTTTTCTCGTCGTTCATCCTTGCACTGGTTTATCTTCTGCTTCACCATCCTCCTCTCCTGCTCTATCAGCTTCCATGTGTCCGTCGTGATCCATTCCACTCTTTGTCTTCTTTCTTCTTCCTTCCTAATACGGTTGTGCAGGTTTCTTTCCACATCTCTTCCAAAGAGTTCCAGTGTTCTTCCACACAGGCTTCTTCAGAGATGTTGCTCGATATCTCCCATTTTGTCTTGATGCTGACTGGCGTGAAGATTTCCTTTGTAGTTTCGTCCTTCAGTTTCTGAGTGTTGCACTTGATCTGTGGTCTATCACCAGCTTCCTTGGAGGCTTTCAACTTGATTTGGAAGGTAGGTTGCTTGCACTAGATAGTGAGTGGTGTGAACCTACATCTGCTCCTCTTCTTGACCTTGTGTCAAGTAGACCGCGTCTCCATCTCCACTTTCTTGAGATTGAGATAAAGTCGATCTGATTTTTAGTGTGTCCTGGTGTCTGGTGAAATCCATGTCGCTCGCTTTGTGGATATCCTTGTGCTTGAACACACTGCATCGCCTCCAATCACCAAATCATTGAATGCACAGGACTCTGCAAACAATCCTCCATTCTCGTTCATCACCTCACCGAGCACTTCTCGACCCATGGTTAGTTCTCTTCCTGTGTTGTCCCCTCCCAGTTTGGCATTCATGTCGCCCCACGCATTAGAATTTTGATATCGCCAATTGGAGTGGAGTCTTGTCCAGTGTTGATTGCAGTTGTCTGTAGAACTTCTCCTTTTTCTCTTGCTCTGCATTATTTGTAGGTGCATAGCGTAGCATTGTATGATTGTGACCTTCCTTCCTTCCTTTTGAGTTGAACCTTGCTGTCATGATCGTGATTGTGGAGGAGATTGGTTCCCACTGCATGAGAGCCTTCGATGCTGTTGGGGACATCATGATAGCCACTCCATAACTCAGTGTGCTCGTGGTTGTCGTCTGGGTGACAATACTGGAGTAGATTATTGATTCTCCAGTTGACAGTTTGTAGAGTCCACTCCCATTCCATCTGCTTTCGCAAATTCCAAGCACTTCAATGTGATGCCTCTTCATCTCGTTTGCAATCTGGGCTGCCTTGGTAGGTTCAAACATGGTGCGGACATTCCATGTCCCCACGTTTACTTTCGCTTTCATCGTGGGATAGAAGACATCGGCCAATTGGCTTCCTGAAGGTTTTCACCAGCTGGCGTCATTTCGTCTCTCCGATTGAAGCGAAGAATAATTTTATAATTTTTATGTTTTGTTTGTGCTTTGAAGTTAGATTAGATTTGTTTTACGGGGTAAGGTTGCTAGCCGTATGCCCAACCTTCCTGTTTACCCGGGCTTAGGACCGGTTAGTAACTAGTGAACTAGTTAGCATGGCGAGGTTCTCTTTAGAGTATCGTCTGAGCATATTTTCCTTGCTCTAGGTTCGAAACATTTCATTAAATTTCTTTTGTATCGTATAGGTGTGAGACCAAGGAAGTGTGTATGTTGACACGCAGATTTGCTTCTTCTGTCCATGATTCTTCAGTGATGCATCTCCGTCTGCTCAATAGAAAGTACAAGAAAATTTAGCGTTTTGTCGCGTTCTTCTTCTTCACAAGTAAAGGCAAGTGAAGGGTGTGTATTGTTAAAACTCCTCAGCAGTTCTCTCTTATCCATTTTCTGGTCAGTGGTAATAAACGTGCCACCCATTTATCTATATTACATTTCTAGCCTGTTGATATCGTCCTTCAATGTTCCATTCTCTAGTTTGGCCAGATAGAAGTTTGCAAGGATGACGAGCCTGTTGTGATTCCGTCTACTTGTTTACGACGTGCATTATGGAAAACTGTACATTTACTGTACAACTAAGAAGTAATTCCTTAAGGTTAAACTCAGGAACTTCAATTTTGATATGTTTCTATATCACTTGTTGACATATGAAATTGACTGTGTCAGTGAGCGATACGTTGGCGAATAATGATGATACATCTAACGATATCATGCGTTTCCCATTCACATTTACCTCTATCACTCCGGAGACAAAATCGAAGATATCCTTCACACTGTTTACAACTAGTTTATGAAGGGGTCTTAGGATCTAGATTAGCCATTTTTTGACTTTATGATATGACAAGCCAGATATATCTAGGACTGGGTTAAGGGGAATTGGAAGCTTTTGAATTTTATGTAGACTATAAATCTGTGGTATGCAACAGCCTGTGGGCTTCAGTGAATTATGCAATGCTGTTGAGATTTTATTTGTTTGTTTCAGTTCTTTAAAACAGTCAGCTAGTTTTCCGCTCTCGTATTCAAATCTCTAGAATCACTGAGCTTCTGGAACGTGGTTTGATCGCTGGGAAGCGAATTCATTTTGTCTACATAATCTCCCTTTCCAATTACGCTGTAACTCTTCCCTTGTCTGGCTTACTCATAACTAGCTTTCCACTCATCCTTAAATTTTGAAAAGCCTCCCCACTTTGTTTCGAAAACAAACTGTTTGTAGAACTCCTGCCATTTTTGTACTGCTAGTAGCCGTTGAATAACGTGGTTTTGAACCTGGTCACTTCATTATCTGATGATTCAACCATGTCAGATGTTTGAGAAAACTAGCTTCCAAATTATATCAGTATCAAATTCACTAGTTTTCTGTACATGATCTCTAGATTTGGGGCCTAGAGATTGAATCTTATCTAGCACAACACTGACAAAGTTGTGAACATACCGATTTGAGTCAGAAGGAAATTTTCTCTCTGGTATAATTAGCCCTCACTCAATAGATGTGGCTCATTGCCTACTGCACGAATGTGCTCAAAGTTGCTAAGTGCATTGGAAATGGGCATTGGTTTCATTTTCTAGTCGCGCTTGCGAACAGTTGCCTAATATACACTACGGTATTCCGAAAATATCTGACTAAAATACATTAACAATACTTCAACCTTGGTTTAATCATCTATAACTTCCTCTTGAACATTAAGAAGTATTGTGATAACATCGTTTATGAGGAATTTCTTTTAACTTGAAAGTAAAATTCTTTTAGGATAACAGGGAAACCTCAATAAGCTGCCTTTTTCGTGCACATTTTTCTAGACTTTGCTATCAAAGCTTTACAACTTAGTCTCAGTTAGTCATTCAGTCACTCACAGTGACACCCAGTATTACTGTGTAACATGGCTGTGAATCGATCACAGTGGCGCTGGTGTATTCACTCTTTGGCTTCTTTTAAAAGTTTAATATTTTCACTAACCTTTATTTTCAAATTCCTGCTAGTAGTGGAATAGAGGTCATCCGTCTTGTTACATTTAAGACTCGTCAAATGAATTTATCTGCATTTTTGATACCATCAAATGGAGTTCAAGGCAATATCGAGATGTCCGTTCATTAAGCTTGTGTGATAACGCAGACTGACTGATTTGGTACAGTCAAATTAATGCTGAAATATTTCAAGTATCGCTAAGTAACAGCTGACACCAACTGCTCACGAAGCGGCTCTCTTAACTCAGTTGACTAAAGGGTTTCATAGATGCCTACTGTGTTTGAATCCTAGTCGCGACGTCATGGCTGTGTGGTCGCCGTATATCCAACTGAAGAATCGCCTATGGGATGAAAAATGTTATTGATTCCACTTTTAGTCACCACCAACTGAATAACTTAATTTTTCTCTCCCACATAAATACTTAAAACCAAGCCCTTTAGTAGATAACTGTGAAACGGCACATGGTATTTGATGCTATTGTTGAGTGCTAGGCTATTTGAAGTTTTATGTTAAGTAAGTATTGAAGTTAGTTTTTGTGACTGGTTTTTCGTTGAACCATAGCGTCTGGGCAAAAACTTCCAAGTCAGCGGTTCTAGATTTACGCTTTAAGTGTGTGCAAATTATCTTTTATCGCATCGTGTGCAAAGTTCTAGAATTTCTCTGTTTGGTTCACTTTGTGATGTATAATCTTTAACAATTATTTGATATTAATTACCCAGTTTTTACTTTGTGACCGTAATGTTTATTATTTACTATTTGTTTCAGAATCATGAACAAGTCTGTTTAATTTGTGTAGCAGTTGGTGCCATTATAAATACTCGATTCTGTTCTTCGTATTATGTGGAAATCATCAGGTAACATATTGTAGTAACATTTATTAAACACTAGATATACCCGGCTACTTTTATGACCATACAAGCAAAGATACTTCAAGATTGAGAATCATGGTACACCCGGATTCGTTACTCAAAAGATGATAGATGCTTATTATGCCAAGACAGAAATTCAGCGTAAAATTGATCAGATGTTTTCTGTTCGTAGAGGAAAACTCCAAAATATCCTTCAATTATTGAGTCTTCGTGAAGCATCAACTTCACTTTCTTCTAGCGCTTTACGTATGTTATTGGATGTGATCTTTTTCCGTATGATAGTTTCCATTATTATTTTACTCAGATCTAATTTTGTTGAAGGTTTGTATAACGATAAAGCTAATTATTTGGAACGTTTTTTCATTCATAGATTCTGCACGAATAAAACAGTTTATCACCTATGGCAATAAACCATAGGATAATGTATTGAATGTATGAGTTTTACTTGACTGAGACATTTTACACATGTGTAAGGAAAGTAACATACTAAAGTTGTGCCTATTTACATATAGCATCCTAGTATTGGGAGTGCAAATAACACTACCTGAATTCCCACACAAGTAGATAGGATGGGTTCGAACCTGTGATTTTGATTAGGGATCGAGTAATTAGACCGTTGAGATGTGTTGAAATCTGTTATCTTTGCAACAGATCAAACTTAACGACTGGGAACTTCATACATCTGACTTACATTAAGTGTAGGACGAAATTGGCACAGAAGTTTATCAGTTCGAGCTACTAGAGCACACACGGAGAAAGTGAACAGAAAACGAAACAGAAACTCAAACAGAAAACTTTTAAATCTCTTGTCACTTTATACAACCTCGTCACTACTTGTTATATCCTTGTAGTGACTACTTCATGTAGCCTGATTTTTTCACCATCTAAATGCGAATTGTTGCCCCCGAATTGGTCTTCCCCGACCGATAGCTGCTACCTTGACGTGGTGGTCAGGCTTGCATATCACAATGACCCAACGAGCTATGCTGGTGGAATGCTTGTTCCCTCGAGGTCCTACCATACCAGAAAGATCTGTTGGATAGTGGTTAGACGAAAAGCAGTTACTGTTATAGTGTAAATTGCTACACTATGATGGGGGTCTGAGGGCGAAGTCGTACTGCTGCTAGCTGGATGGGGTGTGACATCAGTAAGGTGTTTCCCTTGGATGACCAGCAGTGCCATGCTGATGCTGCCTTCTCAGTGGGAGGGGGGGGGGTTAGAAAAGGTCGGCCCCAAAAATAACACACTCCACCATGCCCCACGGTCTGCCGGGCCGGCGGTGTTGGTTCACTTGTCGTTTCCTTTCGATCATCCGGCCCCCAAAATACAAAAGTTCAAAATAATCATACTCAAAAGGCTGGGTGTGACAGGCCTCAAGCAGATGTCCGATGGGCTCTGCAGTCACACAAGTCTCTTTCAGGTACCTTAAGAAGAAATAGCCTTCCACGGTGTGGGCAGCCGGGAAGCGTCAACCGCCCTCACAACTCTGTCAGCACTCAAGTTTCTTCTGACTGCTATCCACCTCCTCCATCATTACCTTCTAATCTTCCTTCATGTCTCTTAATTAATGATGCTGCATCATCTTCAACTTCTCCTACCTCTGCAGCCTTCGACAACGATCTGAGTCCACAGAACAGCATTACTGGTCTCCTCAAACCACGTTCCAAATTACATATTGGAGCCTTCAATGTCCGCACCCTCCATCAAATCAGTCAACAGGCTTCGTTGGCAAAGACTCTAGCAACTCGGGCATGGATGTGTGTTGTGTTCGTGAGACACGCACACAGGACCTAAGTGTGGTTATTCACCTGACCTCTTCTGACCAATCTGGTGAATCCGCAAAATTCACCCTTCGAGTTTCTGGAGATTCGATAGCTAGCTCTCATGGTCTTGCAGGTGTGGGTATAGCATTAAGCACTAGGGCAGAAAACTCACTACTAGACTGGATCAGCGATGGACACAGATAGACCACATTGCTATTAGTCATCGCTGGAGAGGATCGGTGGAAGACTGCCGCTCCTTCTGGAGTACGTGTTTGGACAGCGATCATGCGTTGGTCCGAGCACGTATATGCCTGCGTCTCAATGGACGTAGAAAAAATTTGGCAACAAAACCACTACGAGTTCTGCTGGACAACGAAAACACCAAAGCCGTGTTCAGTGAGAAGTTGGCTAGGCAGTTATCGGAACAAAAGACTGTCACTCATCCAGAAGAAGCTTGGTGCCATCTTCAGTCTACTGTAAAAGCAGCACTGGAGACTGTAGCCGACTCCAAGATAATGGCTAAAAAGAGCCAGTGGATATCAGCAGCTTCTTCCAAACTAATGGATGCACGTGAATGCATCCCTGCAGGCTCTGAGTACAATGAAGAGCGAGCGCAACTTAAAAATAAACTGACGAAAAGTCTGCGCAACGATCGTGAACAGTGGTGGGCAGCAAAGGCTAAAGAGATGGAAAAGGCAGCGGCGATCGGTAACAGTAGACAGTTATTTAGACTTATTAAGGAGACTGGGGGGAAATGGTCAACAACAGTTAGTGAGGTTATAGCGGAGAAGGACGGATCGGCGATTCACTCGCAGGGAAGGCGACTGGGACGATGGGCAGAACACTTTGAGGAACAGTTTAACTGGCCTCCAGCCACCATTGCGCTGCCCGCTATCCAGTCGGACCCTGAATGGGACATAGAGACAGGTCCCCCAACACTAGAAGAAGTTGAGAAAGCGGTAGGTAGCCTGAAACGGGAAGGGCAGCAGGACCAGACGGACTACCTGCTGAGGTATACAAGAATGGTGGTAGAGTTCTCTTAGTCAGGCTAACGGAAGTGTTAGCCAGTATATGGGAATCAAATACGATCCCCTCCGACTGGTCTAAGTCACTGATCATCCCAGTCTTCAAGAAAGGCGAGAAGTCCTCTTGTGATAACCACAGAGGAATCAGCCTGACAAACATAGTGTCTAAGATCCTAAGTTCTATAATTCTCCGACGCCTGAGTGGAGCTCGGGAACAGCAAGCCCGAGAAAACCAGGCAGGCTTTAGACCTGGCCGTGGATGTATCGACCAAATATTCACACTGCGCCAGGTCCTGGAACATAGGCATGCTTACAGACGCCCGACAATAGCTGTATTTCTCGACCTGAAGGCGGCATTTGACTCCGTTGATCGAGAAGTCTTATGGCAGTGTCTGTCACTGAAAGGCGTGCCTAGTAAGTACATCACCTTATTGAAAGCTCTCTACTCGAACACTTGTGGGCATGTTAGAGCCTATGGTGAGTTGTCCAGGGAGCTATACTCATCAAGTGGTGTCCGTCAAGGATGCCCACTATCCCCATTCTTATTTAATTTTATCATAGATATTCTTATGGAGGTTTCCCTCTCGTCACCTAATTACAAAGACGTTGACCGTCACAGGTGAATTTTCCTTAGATCTAGAATATGCAGATGACATAGTCCTGTTAGGTGAAGACGCTGACAAGATGCAGAGTCTTCTGAACACTTTGAGTGGGAATTTGAGAATGTTTGGGATGCGATTTTCACCACCCAAATGCAAATTTTTGCTCCAGGACTGGTCTTCAGCGGTACCGCGGTTAACAATAGAGAGTGAAGTGGTTGAGTGTGTTGACCACTTCACTTACCTGGGAAGTAGGATCAACCCGGTGGGTTAGTTGCCGATGAGATTTCTGCACGGATACAAAAGGCTCGATTGGCTTTTGCCAATTTGCGCCACCTATGGCGCCGCCGTGATATTCGTTTGTCTATTAAGGGTCGCGTGTACTGCACAGCAGTCCGCTCTGTTCTACTGTATGGCTGTGAAACATGGCCATTGAAAGTGGAAGACATGAGAAGGTTACAGGTATTTGACCACCGTTGCCTTCGTAGTATAGGACGTATTCCGTGGTGTCACCATGTGAGTAATGCAGAAGTTAGGTGTAGAGTTTTAGGGAGAAGAGGTAAGTCAGTCGACGAGGTTGTGAACCTTCATCGACTGAGATGGTTGGGACACGTACTACGTATGCCTAGTCACCGATTGCCTCGTCACACAATGTTGGCTGAGGTGGGTTCAGGCTGGAAAAAGGCCCGAGGTGGCCAGACTAAAACATGGCACCAATGTATGAAGTCTCTGACTGTTGGTTTAAGCCATGTAGGACGATGCAGACTAGGTGGTTGGGGTCCACGGGACAAGAGGAACCAGTGGTTGGAGACCCTAGGTGATATGGCTCAGAACCGAAGTCAGTGGCGCAGATGTATACACACATTATCCTCATCTTAACGACGCTGTACCGAATCTCACCATTTTGTCACTCCTGTTCATCCTTCACCTCACTACCTTTTACTTGAAGTGATGGTATGAGGTGTGGCAACTCGGACCGTTACGCAGTAATGCGTGGTCCTATGTTGATAATGATGATGGAGAATTGGTCTTCAATGATGCCTCGGCTAACAATACAGAGTGTAGTGGTTGAGTGTGTCGACCACTTCACTTGCCTGGGAAGTAGGGTCAGCCCTAGTGGCTCAGTGGCCGACGAAATTTCTTCACGACTATAAAAGTATTGGCTGGCTTTTGCTAATTCACGCCACCTGTGGCGCCGCCGTGGTATCCGATTGTCTATTAAGGGTCGCGTGTACTGCATAGCAGTCCACTCTGTTCTACTGTATGACTGTGAAACATGGCCATTGAAGGTGGGAAATACGAGAAGACTTCAGGTGTTTGACCACTGTTGCCTTCGTAGTATAGGCCATATTCCGTGGTGTCACTAGGGGAGTAACGCAGAAGTCAGATGTGGAGTTTTAGGGAGAAGAGGTAAATCAGTTGATATGGTTGTAAACCTTCATCGACTGAGATGGTTGGGACACGTGTTACGTATGCCTAGTCACCGATTGCCTTGTCACACAATGTTGGCCGAAGTAGGTTCAGGTTGAAAAAAGGCCTGAGGCGCCTAGACTAAAACATGACAGCAAAACATGAAGTCTTTGACTGTTGATTTGAGTCATGTGGGGCAGTGTAGACTAGCTGGTTGGGGTCTGCGGGAAAAGAGGAACCGGTGGTTGGAGACTCTAGATGACGTGGTTCAGAACCGATGTCAGTGGCGCAGATGTAAACACACCATTCTTCCTTTCTCTCCTTTCGTACTTTATATTTCTTCTGACTGAATTTTCTTATCTTCATCCTGCATCTCACTGTCTTTTTACCTGATGTACTTATATGAGGTGTGGCAACTCGGACCGTTAAGCAGTAATGCCTGGCCCTAT